ACGATGTTCTACTTCGTATGTAAATCATATCATCAGGAGAGTATCGACGTGTTGGCTCTCTCAGATAAACAACTTGTTCCATTAAGAAGCTCAAAATGTTAATTATTGTCACATATCAAAGTTGAAGTGTGATATGAATCAAGACATCTCAATTATACCGTATAAACTTGAAGGAAGTTGTGAAGAATGTTGTTCAAATTACCACACGATAAAGTCAAGTTCTATTAAAGTTGAATTCAAGTTGCAATCAATTTCAAGTTAAAGAAGCATCAAGTCTCATTTATGGAGCAAGAGCTTCAAGTACTTCAAATGAGATTTCACCATTATACTAGATGCTTAAAATTTAGATTTACGATGTTTCATCATGTATTTTAAGTTTTTAGATTTATTTATTTATCTTTCGTTACATCTGCATAGTGACTAATTATGGTCAAAAAGTATGAATGTTACAAACTTTTGAAATGCCTAATAGAATATTGAGAGTTTCATTTTGAGGTTATACAAAACCACGAGACTTGAAAAAATGGAGTGAAAAAAACATTCCTTATTTTCTAGTCAATGACTCAGTTTCTTTGCAATTCTATATAGTTTAGATTACACATTTAATAGATATATGAAGATAATTTTTTTATACTTGATTTGGGCAATTCTATCGAAATATTTCTTTGGAAAAGTTTATTTGCAATTCTATATAATTGATTGGGCAAAAGAAAAAAAAAGTGAGATAAAATAAATATATCGAGATATTTTTTTATACTCAATAATTGGACGGAAAGGTGGTTGATCTTTGTAGTTGTTTTCTTTTAACCGATGTCATCAAGATGATGAATCTGAGGTGAAATTGGATTTTGAGGAGTATATTCAGCTTGTTAGCAAGTGCTAGCTTGACGAGCTAGATCAAGGGGGTATGCGAGCCTGGTTGGTGGAGCCATGTTCACATGCTTGGACAATGTGTAAAAAGATGATGAATCTGAGGTGAAATTGGACTTTGAGGAGCATATTCAGCCTGTTAGTGAGAGCTAGCTCGACGAGCCAGACTCAAGGGGTATGCGAGTCTGCTTGGTGGGCTCATATTCACATGCGTGGACTATGTGTAAAAAAGTACTACACATCCAACCTTAACGGGAAAGTGGCATAAGGTTATGCCTTGGTTATATGGATGAGGTTACGGCCGTGCTACTCTTATTTTTCAGGTAAAGGTAAGACACCTCTATACGGATATCGACGTCACGATGAAAGTTATAGAACCAGTGTTAGGGCAGTCACACTTTTATCTAGTTTTGTAGCATTTAGGTTCGATCATGTCGTTGTTTTATTCTTTTCTTTTGTTTTATTTGAATTTCATGTTATTTATTTTAGTGTTCATTTACTACTAACATTTAACTCGATAACATCATTTTAACTAAACGATTCCGTACTTAACAATTATGTCACGACTTTATTTATAATAGAAAAATTGTTGAGATGAAGAAACGAAAATATATGGCCCTTTAACTATAAAAGTCAAAGTTGATTATTCAATATAGAAATAAATGATATTTATTGATAATGAGAAACAGGTTTGAACACGCAAATAAGTGAGGAAGCTCTTACAAGTCAACTCGTTTATTGTTTATTTTCATTTATTTTGATTTTTAACTCTAAATAACTATTTTGATCAAATTATTATATAAACGGTCGTTTAGGATGGTTGAGAGTATTGATTTTCATTTTATATTTGACTAGACATAATTTGAGAAAAACTTTGTTGAGAGACATTATAATCTGAGAGCGTGAGATTACATTTTGTAAATATTTTGATTATTGAGATTGGTGGCAAACCCGTGGATGATTTAGGAGAATTTCTTGTCTCTTAACCACGTAAATCTGTGTCTTTGTTTAATTTTTGTTCGTGGGTGTGTAACTATAATCGATATTGCTTCTGCTTCTGTTACAACACAAAAAACACTGAAGGTTAAGAAGTCTGCGAGTGAGCAGAGAGAGGAAGGTGACGACATGTCGCTTACAAAATTTGGGAGCGACGACGTCGAGATATACACTTCGTAAATATTTTGATTATTGAGATTGGTTGCTACTCGTTGATGTAAGAGAATTTTTTTTCTCTTAACCATGTAAAGCTTTGTCTCTTTATTTAATTTCTGTTCGTGGGTGTCTAAGTACAATCAATATTGCTTATGTTTTTTTTGTTACAACTCAAGAGCAAACAGAGGAAGGTGACGATATGTCGCTTAGAAACCTTGGGTGCGACGGTGATCACTTGTCAGAAAGAGATGTCGTGATCGACATAAATGCAGGTGGCGGCGTCCAGATATACGCTTTTTGATTATTGAGATTGGTTGCTACCCATAGACGCAGGAGAATTTCTTCTCTCTTAACCACATAATACTTTGTCTCTTTGTTTAATTTATGTTCGTGGGTGTGTGAATACAATCGATATTGCTTCCGCTTTGTTACAATACAAGAGCAGAGGAAGGTGACGACAAGTTGCTTACAAACCTTGGGGATGACGACGATCACCTATCAGAAAGAGATGTTGTGATCAACGTAAACGCAGGCAACGACAGAAATAGAGTGTTGAAAATTGCCCACGATCGAAATATGTCAAAAACAAATAACTGAAGCGAAAGAACAACTCAAGAGAAGAAAGCTTTTGAATAGAGGAACCTAAGCACTTATGTTTTATTAATTCTTCTGTGTTGTTTTGGTCGTAGAAATAACATAAATCTCATAAGTATTTACGATAGATTTTTATTTTATTTTATTTTTGGAATCTTCCCTTTGAGCATTATTTTCAAACAATGGAGCCTACCCCACTCCATGACCAATTCAGTGGTTGAAACTTCACACGCCGACAGCTTTATTTATATCTCTTTTATCTTTTCCTCACATAGACATCACTTTACCTTATCTTCTTTTCAAACCCTTCCCCCAAATCTTCTTCTTCTTCTTCTTCTTCACTTGAACACCAATCAAGAAGATCAATCCATAATCCAATGGATCTGAAGCACAAAGACATGCAATTCCTTGGAGCCTTTGAAATCTTCAAAGAAACCTTCAAAATCATCAACAAAAACAGAAAGATCATTGCCATGGCGGCTCTTTGCTTCATCCACCCTCTAAACTACCTCCTCTTAGGCTTCATGGAGACCTTAAGTGACCTCCTTAGAGACCTCCAAGAATATGGGAACATGTCACATCTCTTCTCTTCCCCCTTCAATGTCTTCTACATCATATTCATTTTTGGTTACTCAATCTTCTCCACCGCAGGCGTGTCTCAAATCGTCGCCGCCTTATACTCCGGCCGAGAACTGTCCGTTAAGGACGCCATGAGCGTCGTAGCCAAGGTTTGGAAGCGAGTTCTAGTCACGTTTCTTTGTGTTGTTTTGGTTTTCTTGGCATATCACATCATAGCTGGATTTGGTTTGTTCTTGATTGTTTGGCAATTTGGGAAAGCTGATGGAACAAATTTAGCTATGTTCTTGATTCTTTACTTAATTGGGTTGTTGTATTTGATCGTTATTCTCCAATTGGCTGGGGTTGTTTCTGCGTTGGAAGAGTCATGTGGGTTTCAAGCCATGGCTAAGAGTAGGTTGCTTTTGAAGGGAAAGATGGTGTCGGCGGTTGTCGTCGTGTCGGCGATTTATTCAAGTTTTGGGATTGTTCTATGGTTAGATGATCTTGTTAGAAAGATGCCTTATTTGCTGTCCTTGGTTAATATGATGGTTCATGTGTCGGCGAGCCTTTCATTACTGTTGTTGATTTTGGTTTTCTTGTTGTGGAGGCTCGTGTTGGAGACCATGTTTTACTTTGTATGTAAATCATATCATCAAGAGAGTATCGACATATTGGATCTCTCAGATCAAGAACATGGTCTTCCAAGAAGCTCACAATGTTAATTATTGGTGTTTTTGAATAATGAAGAGGATTGGTGATGACTTAAATATGTATGTAATTTAGTTTCTAAAGTGTAGTGTGGAAATAAAGTTTGTGGAGATTGTAAATTGGATTCTTTTTAACTTGGTGATGGTCTATGTGTATGCCTTCGATGAAATCTTGGGGTATTATTCGTGATCGATTATAATCGAGTGTTGTTTTACTAGACTTCATTGAGATTTTTATGATGGGTTGATTGTGAGATTTCACATAGATTGGAGAGAGGAAAGAGTGTTAGCTAGGACGTTGGGCCCCGAAAGAGGTGAATTGTGAGATCCCACCTCAGTTAGAGAGGGGAATGAAACTTTCAAGCGTGTGGAAATCTCTCCCAAGCAGACACGTTTTAAAATCTTGAGGAAAAGCTCGAAAGGGAATGTTCAAAGAGAACAATATCTACTAATTGTGGTGTGAGATCCCACATCGGCACATCGATTGGACAAGGGAACGAAGTATTCCTTATAAGGGTGTGAAAACCTCTCTCAAGCAGATACGTTTCAAAAATGGAAAAGCTCGAAAGGGAAAGTTCAAAGAAGACAGTATCTGCTAGCAGTGGTGTGAGATCGCACATCGATTGGAGAAGGGAATGTTCGAAGACAATATCTTCTAGCGGTGGTGTGAGATCGCACATCGGCACATCAATTGGAGAAGGGAACGAAACATTCCTTATAAGAGTGTGGAAACCTCTCCCAAGCAGACACGTTTTAAAAAAACTTGAAGAAAAGCTCGAAAGGAAAAGTTCAACATTCCTTATAAAAGTTGAAAACCTCTTGAAGTAGACACGTTTTAAAATCTTGAGAAAAAGCTTGAAAGGGAAAGTTCAAAAGCGACAATATCTGCTAGTGGTAGAGTGAGATCCCACATCGGCCCATCGATTGGAGAAGGGAACGATACATTTCTTATAAGAGTGTCGAAACCTCTCCTTAATAGACGCGTTTTAAAATCTTGAAGGGAATCCTAGAACGAAAAGTACAAAGAAGACAATATCGGCTAACGGTGGGCTCGGACTATCATACGTGCGCTTGAACCAAAAATATAAATAAACCATCTATTAGGTTTCAAGCAAGTTTTATTATAGACAAAATATGTTAAAAAAGTACAACCTTTTTCCTTAATTCCTCGTACCAAACAAAAGAGAAACACAACATATAAACACAATCCCAACAAAACAAGCCAATCCTACGTTTGAACAAATCAAACTTCAAGGTTTTCAAGCTCAACATTTTTACCCGTCAAAGGAACATAACCATTCAACAAATAAACTTGAAGATGATTGGACAGCGCCGACTTGTCGATATTCTCTTGGTGGTGTTCTTTGCAGACAAAATACAATACCGTCTCCAACACAAGCTGCCATAAGAAGAAACTCAAGAGCAAGAACAAACACACTATTCCCAAAATACCCCTCCCCACCATCCCAAACCAAACTCCATGAACAACAAGCTTCAAAAAAGCTTGTTGAATGATCACTAAAGAGGCATTGATGAGCAACAACATGATTGTGGCTACTAACATCTTTCCCTTCAATAGTGCCTTGCTCTTTGCCATTGCTTTAAATCCACACGACTCTTCTAAAACCGAGACGACGCTTGAAAGTTGCACTGTGACGCTCAAATATAATAAGCCAATGAAGTAGATAGCGAAGAACACGACGAAGATTGAACCATTGACATTGCCATATGGTCCGTATTGTATTAGGAGAATGAAAAGAAGTAAAATAAAAGCAAATATCGCGAGGAGATTGTATGCGAAGAAGGAAGCAAAAACACAAAAAAATGTCACTATGAGTCGCTTCCAAACCTTGGGCACGACGCTAACGACTTGCTTGAAAGAGATCTCTCGACCTGCGTTTAGAAATGGAGTAAGAAATTTTCCTAACTTTTTGATAAAAAATTAAATTTTTTAAAAAGTTAGAAACCAAACATACAGAAACCATATAAATATTTAGAATCTCGAAAATTTCATGATCCAGTTAGAAAGTAAACATCTTTCTTCGCTCTTACCGGTGTGTATGCAAGCGACGGTATAAACCACGGCGGAGGTTGAAAGGAGAGAGAAAACGAAGAGGAAGACGATGTACGAGATGTTGAAGAGCCAAAAGAAGGTCCATTTAGGAGTGATGAGATCCGAGAATTCATCGAATTTTTGAAGATCTTGATCGTGGTCGTTTTTGTGTAGCAACCATAGGTAATGGAAGAAGTTGCCAAAGAGAAGATTTGAAATCTCTATGTGAGCCAAGAAGATGAAGGTAAGAGGTAGAATCAATGAAAGAGCAATTTGGGTGAAAATTTTTCGCCACGTGAGGATGATTTCGTAGGTTTCTTGAACGATATCGACGATCTCGAGCCATGCCATGTTGGTTTTTGCTCTAAGGAATCGTAAAGATGGAGAAGAAGAAGAGGATTTATAATGAGAAATGGAATTACATAATCTAGAAATATGAACTTGTCAAAGTCGTACCTAAAAAGAAAGAAAAAGAAAGAACTTGTCAAAATGAAGAACAATTAAGCGTTGAATTAGCAATACAACGCGACATAGTATTTGTTAATTAATTTATGGATTAGTTTATTTGGTGGTTGAATTTAAAAGAAGTGTATAAAAAAGTTTTAAAATTTTTTAATTTGGTGTATAATAATTCTTTAAATTTTAAAAACATTTAATGAAACCTAAACTTTTAATTTTGTGCCAAATACGTCTCTAATATACTGATAGAAAGACTCTAAACGATGTTTTAGACACAATTAAAAATGTCTTTGTTATCTGAAATGCCTAGCTATAATCCCATGGTCAAAGTAATCGCGGACTAACGTGTAGTTTATTTGGACTGGGAGTTGTGTTTCAAATGATTTGTTTAATCCATTTATAAAAATACAGTTGTACGTCGGTAAGCAGAAAGTCTCATGCTTTTCCAAGATTTTTGTCGTTTTTCTTCTTCACTTTTTCGTCTAACCAATGATGTTAGCCAAGTTCTTTGTCGTCGTTACTCTTGTCATCGTCCTACTCAATTGTAGCTTTTCCCATCGTGCACTATTGTGGGTTTCAAATGTCTTTGTTGTCATAATTGCCTAGCTATAATCCCACGGCCAAAAGTAACCAGTGTAACGCCCCTAATTTTCTAAACTTGATTAGTGACGTCACCCATGTATTCATAATTCATTACGCAGAAGCTATCATAAATAACCTTGGAAACTAAACAAATTCATTCATAAAGATTCATAAATCCAAACAAAACCTAAACTCCAAAAATAAACCTTCAATACTGAATTCAAAATAAATCCAAATAAAACAATACTCAATGCTATAACTTAGAACAGTCTAATAAGAGTAAACTTCTAAAAATATCCCGTCTCCAACTTCCATGGTGGCCTCAACTCCGCCGTCAACTGTACATTGGCGCCTTGCCTTTACCTGAAAAATGTAGATAGCAGGTGGCTTAAGTATTTTATGAAATACTCAGTAAGTGACCTCACTGTTGGGGTTAGGAATGCAAACACATGCAACATATGAGCGGGACCTAACTTTTCATAAACATTTCATAGCCTTGGGCGCTTTTCTATTTCGGGTAGGGTTGGATGTGTGGTACTCCTTCACACATGGCCGATGTACGTATACATGGACCCACCAGGCGGGCTCATATACGTACCCCCTAGGCCTAGCTTGGTCGGGCATAACGTATTACACGTCGCCGGACACCACAAAATAGAAAAGGGCCCGCATGATATCACGGCGAACATAAATATCGTAATTCATTCTTTCGTATCATAAAGGGAAAGATTCCCGATGCACGTGACATACATATATGCATGAGGTCCCTTAACATATCTAACATGACATTACATAAGCAGTGCTAACATCGCATTTACGTTTCTTACATCATATGGCATCTCACATGACTTACATTACATGACATATTACATAAACATTCCAGTTGCATAAACATCTCATGACATGACTCGATAATTCTACGTGTATCTATGGCATCAATCAACATATTCATGGCATATAATACTAACAACTCATTCATGACATAACATAAACAATCAACAGTCAACATCATTCATACATCACATAACATACACAATCTACGGTCAACACAATCTATACATCACATAATCATATCACATAAATATGGTGCATGCAGGGGCCACAGGGCACGCACCATCATACAACACGTAGTAAGCTAACTCCAACAGTAAGATCACTCACCTCAATGGTCTTGGTTGAAGTCACTCACAACGAGCTAATCCCAGCGGTTAAATACGCCCTATGATAACCACATAAAAACTTAGAACTTTTCATGACATACCCTAGCTAAACCTCATGTTATTTATCAAAATAAACTCCCGACCGAATCTGTCTTCAACGTTTAGGAACCATACTGACCTAGAATGGTAAAATTAAGGGCAGAAACGGCTTCGGAAGGGCCAAAAACCTTAGAATCGATATATAATAGTGATACCTTGCCGCTAAGCCTAGTTACCGAGCCGGCCAACTAAGCCGCCAAGTCGAGCTGCGAGAATTGACGGAACCGAGCCGATTTTGTACACGTGCGAGCCGACCTGCACTGTGTACGTGTGCGAAGCTGCTGGGTGTGCGTCTATGGCTCGACCATTCCAAAAACCTTGCCTTCCTTACCCAACAAGCGACGAAACTCTAGTTTCCGCCTTCCCGATTCTGGCGACGCGCCGTCAATCCCACAACGTCCTCAACACCGATTTCCAACAGTCAACCTTTTTTGACACAATGATCCCAACATCAATGCCTTACTTCTACTCGATTCTTCCTCCAAAGAGCAACCCCAACGTTCCGGATGAAAGTTTGGAGAGAAAATCGTTTTCAAGGGAGGTCAAAGGTTGGACATAGGAATATAAAAAATAATATGAAGAAATTTGCATTCTAGGGTTCTAGGATAAGAAAATTTAGAGAAATATGAATGTTTCTATTAGACAATAAAAGTTCGATTTCCGGGGAGATTACATTTAATTATTTATTCTATTTTTATTTGATTTGATTTTATTCCAGAAACCCAAACCGTTACAATTTCTAATAACTTCCTTGGTTTAAAATTGCACTTTTACGACGGGAACAAATACATAACATAATATCTTGTCATCTAGAGAAATAAAAATAACAATCAACCAAATAAGGTAAAAATGGAAAATCTGAAACGTTACAACCAGAGACTAACGTGTAGTTTATTTGGACAAGAGTTGTGTTTCCAATGATTTGTTTGATTTGTGATAACAATACAGTCTTACATCTCTAAGTTGATAGTCACATGCTTCTTCAAGATTGTCGTCGTTTTTTCTCTTTCACCTTTTCATCTAGCCAGTGACATTAGTCTAACTCCTTACTGTCATTACTCTTGTCATCGTTGTACTCTATGTAGGTATCAAAATGTCTTTGTCGTAATAAATATAGAATTCTGATAGTGTAATACAAAAGAAATCATACTATCATATCCGTAACGTGGAGAGGCTCGATGTAGCATCTAATGCTACGACGTTGAGCCTTCTCTCTATGAAGATGTGCACGTTCAGTAAAAAGTTGGCTTGTTCTCTAAAATTATGTTTTCTACTGTCTTATTTTCTCCGAACAATTTTGAATCTATCCGTACAGTGAAAAATTAGGTTAAACATAGATATATAGTGCCATTATTGATATAGATAAGGATAGTAAAGCACCATACATATCATTGTTTAATACATAATTAAGAAGTAATCTTCCCTCATTAATATTTAAGGAGAGGCTTAAAGGATGTGAGGGTCCATGATTGCTCCCATGGAACATCCCACACGATAGCCTCATAGATATAAATCCCATGTTCGCCCTCTTTTGTTGCCCTTACCAGAAGGCGGTAGTTAACTCCAGACACAACTTGAGTCCAACCATCATCAACATGTGAGAAAATCAAGTGTTCCCCACTTTGGTTGTTGTGCTCCATCACTGCAAACCTTCCCCTCTCTTGCACTTGTGGGTCGTTGATATCCTTAATGTGACTCCACCCACCAGGTACTATATTTTCTCGGTTTGTGATGGGGGCATCGTTTTGGGACGCAGCTGCAACAGAACTCATCGTAACTTTTGATAGATGGTTTTGAAAAGATTTTTAATCGTGGTATGCTCTCGATCATGTCGGAGCTCGAAATTTATACTTGTGATATGAACTAAGACAATACTGATAGCTTCGAATCTAATTCATAGAATCTCTTGTGGATAATACTGATAGTTTCGAATCTAATTCTTTGATATCAACGATGAATCTTAATAGAATCTCTTGTAGACCTCCTTAATGAACAAGAGCAATAGCAATAGTATTTCATGCCTAATAGATAGATAGCTCTGAATCTAAGTCAATAAGTTGGGGACCAATATTTCTTTATATCTTATGATTTAAACTTATGTGATCCCACGTAGGAGGGGAAGAGCGAACGAAGCATTCTTTATAAGAGTGTGGAAACCTTCCCGTAATAAATGCGTTTTAAAAATCCTGCGGGGAGCCTGAAAGGGCAAGCCCAAAAAGAATAATATCTACCAGTTGTGGGTTTGGGCTGTCCGAGGATGGAACGCCACTAGTGCTCTTGACTGATCTAGACTTGAGGAGTCAGAACTAAGAAACCTAGAGATGTGAATCAATTTCAAGATCGCCAAACCACTCTAGAGACCTAGAAAACCACCACGACAACCCTAGAAAGACAAAGATTGCGTTCTTAGCTGATAGCAACTAGTACAATGTCTAAAGAGCTTCCACTTCCCTTTTCACTATGGTACGATATTGTTGAGTTAGGCGAGAGGTTGGTTAGAGACGTGTGACTCGATGGCTTGTTAGATTATCCTACTTGGTGGATTCGTCCTGTAGTTGGACATTGATTATGCAGTAGTCAGTGGATACCTAGCACAGATGATCCATCCTGTGGGTGGGCGTTGATCATGCGGGTAGCCAGTGGAGTTGGAACCTATTGAGGAGTTGGTCTCCAATCTTGGACAACTACATGGCTTGTGGGATGAGTTTGCCAGTTAACCTCTCATGGAAGACGAGCAAGCTAGCACTCACAATGTTGTTCCCACCTAATACATACTTATTTGAGGTAGCACCTCAACTTCGGACACCTACTATCACTTTATAGGCTAAACTAGCTTCTCAAGATTGTGCACAACAAGACCAGTATACCTAGACCCTCGAATAAGTCTGTGGTCACCAGCTAGGTCTGGATGTGATGAGAGCCTGAAAATACAACTAGGTATATTTACAAACTCATCCCCTTTTCCCTTTCTTTTTTAGGTGTTTGTAGGTTGTTGGTCAAGGTAGAGGAGCGTTCGAGAGCTATATGGTCATAAATGGATCGTTCTGTAGCGTCAGTCCGTCTTTGTATTTGAGTCTTTTGTACTTTTTTTTTT